CTGTTTTCTGGATCCAATACCTTTACCTTGGGTGCCTTAGATACTCTGAATTCAGTGGTTGTTAGCCACTTTAGTCTGTTTTCAGAACCAGTGGATCAACTAGAGGAAGCAGCTATCAGACAATTGGACATGAGACCATCAGGGTAGAGGATGGCATCAAGTTTGGAAAGTACTCCCCTTCCTCAGAACATAGTTCTTGGGAAAATTTAATGTCGGTCCTTTATGATGTGTTCATTTGTCAAATACTGAGCATCTATAAATAATTTTCTGATTGTCGGCAGCGTAAAAGGAAACTCAAAGCAGAAAATGTCACCTGCAAAGCAAATTTATTTCCATTCTTAGGTGTAAGATCCCTGATAGTTCAAACTGGCTTTAAAATACAGTCAACAGGTGATGCACGCTCCAGAGGCTGAGGCAGGAGGAGGAACAAAAGTTTTAAAGCCAGTGTCAGCAACAGCAGGCACTAAGCAACTCAGTGAGACCCTGCCTGAGCTTTCTTAAGCCGTCCCCTCCCTACCAATCAAACCAGGCTCCCTAGGAGCCGGGACCCGACGATCTCGGTACGTCACGATGGAAGTGTGAATTCTGGGTTGCGGGAGCGTCCGCACAGGCGGTAAGTGGAGAGAGCAGGTGGAACTATGCGAGTGACGCCCTTGCGGAGTCCCCCACTGCCTGGTGCAGAGCGGTTAAGCCCATACAAGCGCCGCAGACTTCTGCGGAAAGGAAAAGAGCAGAAGGCGACACGGTCCCGCCTCACCCTCACGAAGGAAAAGGGGAAACGTTCACGCCCAACAAGCGACCCCGCACTTTTTGTTGGCGCTGCCCCAACAACCGCCGGCCCGCGGACCCGGAAGTGGTTCTGCGCGCCCCTTGCCTCGGGAGCGGCGGTGTCCCCGTGCGTCTGCGCACACCATCTCCAAGCGCGCCCTTTGTGCGGCGACGCTAGACAAGCCCGGCTGTCCTGCGCAAGCGCAGTCAAGGACTCGGTCCTGCGGTAGGTTTGAGTTTGGGACACCGTGTTTACCTGCTCTGCGAAGTTCCGAAGCCACTTGTCAAAGCAACCTAGTGAGGAGTCTTTCCACCCCGGTGCGCTTGCTAGGAGTTAAGTTCGCTCGCACCCTGGAATAGGGCTGGGGGACGGAGGTTGGGGACTTGGTCGCTGGCTGGGAAGACCCCAGTGGAGCAGGGCGACCGAGAGGGATGCGCACCGTGCGGCCAGGAGCGCGGGGAGAACGCCGAAGGGGCATCCAGGCGCACGCGGCAGGGCTGGCTAGTCGAAGAAGGCACGGACGCAGGCATGAAACGTCGTCTGCCTTCTTAGGAGTTTCGGAAATAGGACTAGAGAGTGCAGTCCTGTATGTGTCTAGATGAGGGGTGGAGCACGAGAGGTGACAGTTGATCCTAAAAGCTCTTAATTTCCAAAGCCACTTGTCAAAGCCACCTAGTGAGGAGTCTTTGTTTAACCCATCAGCTAGTGGGTAATACATTGGAACAAGGCAAGGGTTGGGAAAAAGGAGTGGAGTGGGATTAAGGGAAATGGAGGTAACTGAGCTCTGTGACCAGCTGGATTTGGAGAGTAAAAGATGATTCTTGCTTGATTCTCAGGTTCCAGAATAGAGCGGCCGCTAAGTGAAGAAAAGAGGGATCCACGGCAGTACAGCTCCTGGGTATTGTAGAGAAGGCGGGGGGTCTTTGAAGAGTCTCAGCGAAACTCTGATCCCAAGAGGATTTCCTGCTTTTGCACGCAGTGCCTGAGAGACATCAAACTGAGGAAATAATACCAAACACAAAAGTTCAGTAGGCGGGAGCACTTCCCAACTCATTTTACCAAATAGGCATCTCCCAAGCCGAAACCAGAGATTAAATGAAAAAAGCAAAACAAAGAACCCTTTAGAATATCATATTTTATGAA